TAAGCACCACAAAGCCGTTCGCTCACCCTCCCCCCTCCCTGTATGGGATGGAGGAGAGAAATAGGAAAATGAAGCCTGTGGGTTGAGACAGAGACAGTTTATTAAGACAGGTAAAAAATAATAATAACAACAATAGTACTGCTACTACTAATGTGTACAGAATAAGTGATGCACACTACAATTGTTCACCACCCACTGACTGATGCCCAGCCTATCCCCGAGCAGACGGCCCCCCCATCCCGGCTAGCCACCTCTACCTATTGTTTAGCATGACGTCAGATGGTATGGAATAACACTCTTTGGCCAGTTGGGATCAGCTGTCCTGGGTCTGTCCCCTCCCAGTTCCTGCTGCACCCCTAGCCTGCCTGCTGGCAGGACAGAGTGAGAAGCTGACCATCCCTGGAGGTTTTTAAAAGACATTTAGATGTAGAGCTTAGTGGTGTGTTTTAGTGGAGGACTTGTTAGTGTTAGGTCAGAGGTTGGTTAGGTGATCTTGGAGGTCTCTTCCAACCTAGATAGTTCTGTGATTCTGTGATTTTGTGATAAGTACTGCAATGCAAAGTTCTCATTTAGTACAGCCTTATGATAAAAAATGAAATGAAATAAAATAAAAATAGAATTGCAGTATGACAAATTGTTTATTTGTGAAAGTCACAGGTTTACGTGTGTTAAACATAGGACAAAAAACCAAACCAAAACAAAAAAAGCTAGGTTGATGTGCAGATACAGACATGGTTTTATACGGAAATATAATCTTAAATGCTCTTGTGCAGTTTAGGTCCTTAAGTTTATGAACCACATGAAGACTGCAGTTCATAGAATCAGAGAATCATGTTCACGTAGTAACTAAATGGCAGAAAGTTTAGTAGAATCCAGCTCCCACGTCTTGGCATTACTCAACCTCTCTGACTTTGAGTAATATTATTTTTTCTAACACTAGGCATTTGGCCTCCACAGATTGACAAGCTGAAAATTAAAATGCTTTACAAGCTCCTGGCATTTCAGGGTGAAATCTAGCCCCAGCAGAGTTAAAAATAGGAAGACTGTTTACCACACTTCAACTTTTCACTTCAAGGAGAGATGAAAAGAAAGGGGGAAAAAAAAAAAAAAAAAAGAGGAGATCAAGAGAAAGAGAAAAAGAAAGAAAGAAAGAAGGAGAGAAGAAAATAATGAAAGAAAAATTGAAAAAAAAATATGTTAGGCTTTGAAAGTTTCAATTCTGACACGAAATGCATTGCTTTCTCTTACATTTTCAGTGAATAAATTATGTATATAGTATTTTAGTCATAGACTTCTTTAAATTCAAATGCTACATCTCTACTAGTAAATTAAATACAGTAAGGTTACTAGGGTGAAACTCGAATGTGCATATTGTAAGATAGTCCCTTAAACAGTTTTTGTCTAGACTTATTTTCATGCATCTAAGCATGTCCTGGCCAAAGTCTGATATTTTCTGTGGTAAAGAGGGCTCTCTACCTCCCAGTAAGCATTTTTAATGAAAACAACACCTTTAGGAGATGAGAGACATTCACAGTATGAAAGCAGTATGTTTGTATTGATTGAATGCTAGACAATAATCCTAACCAGTTTTAATTTGTTTAGATAGACACAACAACACTGCATTATTTTAAATAGAGAATGCAATTACATTACATAAATTAAATTATTGTATGCGGTAAGGTTGTATTCAGTCTTAATTACTATATTTTTGAGAATTTCATTCTGAATAAAAAGTAATCTAAAGTTTTCTTTTAGTTTAAGCCATGCAAAACAAGACCAGAATCTTTCACAGAATTTCACAGAATTTCTAGGTTGGAAGAGACCTCAAGATCATCAAGTCCAACCTCTGACCTAACACTAACAAGTCCTCCACTAAACCATATCACTAAGTTCTACATCTAAATGTCTTTTAAAGACCTCCAGGGATGGTGACTCAACCACTTCCCTGGGCAGCCTACTCCAACGCTTTAACAACCCTTTCGTTAAAGAAGTTCTTCCTAACATCCAACCTAAAACTCCCCTGGTACTCCCCTATAACAGACCCCGACCAGGATGCTAGCCTTGTTGGCTTTCCTGCTGATCCTAACCCACAGGGACTCAATTTTGTCATTCCCAGCCTTGAGTTCCACAACATCAAAACACCACCACCCCTTCCATGCTGCCTGTCCCTTCTGAAGAGCTTATTCTGAAGAGCCAGTCATTGCAGCACTCCAGTCATGAGAGTGGTCCCACCACGTCTCCGTGATGGCAACCAAGTCGTAGCCTGCCGGCTGCACGATGGCTTCCAGCTCCTCCTGTTTGTTACCCATGCTGCGTGCATTAGTGTAGATGCACTTCAGCTGGGCATGTAGCTGCACTTCAGCCTTATCCCCCGGCCTTGCCAGAATCTTATCAGCATCATTTTTAATTTGCAATCACCCATTCCCATAGGACTTAAATTGGGGCAACACAGTAAATACTTCTGTATTAAGATCTACTTTTGTTTATACAGGTGTGGGTGATATTTTCCATAATTTTAACCAGCCTGTCATATGTTTGACCCAAAATCATTTATTCAAGAGAAAAATAAATGAAATGAAATATAAATAAATAAATAAATAAATAAATATGTACCTATGTTTCTTATTTTTAACCTTCATTAAAATTGTTCCTGTAAAAGTATACCCAAATGATTTCCTTCTACAACAGGAGCATTAGTTTTTTTAATTTATTTTTATTTTATTTTATTTTTTCCCTGGCTTCTATGTAACACATAAATCACCTCCCTTGACCTTCTGGTCATGCTTCTTTAGATACAGTCCAGGATATGATTGGCTTTCTGGGCTGCAAGATCACACTGCCAGTTTATGCTGAATTTCTCATCAACCAAGACACACAATTTCTTCTTCAAAGGGCTGCTCTCTATCCAGCCTTCACCCAATCCATCTTTCTTCTTGGGATTGCCTCAGCCCAGATGCAAGACCTTGCACCTGGCCTTGTTGAACCTCATGAGGTTCACATAGGCTTACCTCTCAAGCCTGTCAAGGTCCCTCTGGATATCATTTCTTTCCTACAGTGTGTGGACCTCACCAGGCACTTTGGTGTTATTGGAAAAGTTGCTGAAGGTGCTCTCAATCTCAGTGTCACCAACAAAGATGTTAAACAGCACCAGTCCCCACACTGACCCCTGAGGTAAACCACTGTCACTGGTTTCCACCTGTACATCAGTCTGTTGACCACAACTCTTTTACTGTGACCATCCAACCAGTTCCTTGTCCACTGAGTTGTCCATCAGTCAAATCCATGTCTCTCTGACTTAGAGTCAAGGATGTCAATTAGATGCAGTTACAAAGCCACTGTTCATCATATTTGAGAAGCTGTGGCAATCTGGTGAAGTTCCCACTGACTGGAAAAGGATAAACGTAACCCCAATTTTTAAAAAGAGGATAAAAGGAAGACCTAGGGAACTACAGACCGATCAGTCTCACATCTAGATTCTAGACTGGCAAAATCATAGAGTGGATCCTCCTGGAAATTATGCTGAGGCACACAGAGAACAGAGAGGAAATTTGTGATATCCAAGATAGCTTCCAAGGGCAAATCATGCCTTACAATTTTGGTAGCTTTCCATGATGGAGTTACAGTGTTGGTCAATAAGGGAAGAGCAATTGGCACCATCTGCCTGGATTTATGTGAAGCACTGGACATTGTCCTACATGACATCCTTGACTCTGACTGCATCTACCATTTCCCTGAGGACCCGTGGATAGATTTCATCAGGTCCCATGGACTTGTGCAACTTCAGGTTCCGTAGATGGTCTCATATCTAGTCTTTTCCTACAGTGAGTGGTTGTTTATCGAAGTCCCTGGCTTTGCTTTCTGCAGCTGGGTGATGTGGTTAGAGAACTTGACGGTGAATTAAGACTGAGGCATAAAAGTCCACAGCTTTCTCCATAACCTGGGTAACCAGGTCTCCAGTTTCCTTCCAAAGAGGGCCCATATTTTCCTAATTTTCCTTTTATCACCAACGAAACTACTGAAGCCTTTTTTGTTGCCCTTGACATCCTGGGCTAGATTTAATTCTACCAGTGCTTTACCTTTCCTAACGTTACCCCTGGGTGCTAGGACAATTTCTTCAAGGTTATCTATCCTTGCTTCTGCATTCTGTAGGATTCCTTTTTGTGTTTAAGTTTGGCCAGGAGCTTCTTGTTTATCCATGCAGGCTTTCTGCATTTTTGCCTGACTTGTTCTTTTTTGGCATTCATCACTCATGAGTTTGGAGGAGGTGATTCTTGAATACTAACCAGCTTTCTTGGGCCCCTCTTCCATTCAGAGCTTTGTCCCATGATACTCTAGCAAGCAGATAACTGAAAAGGTCAAAGTCTGCTCTCCTACAGTCCAGAGCAGTGAGCTTGCTGTGCAGCCTCCTCTTTGCCCCAAGGATCTTGAAATCCACCATTTCATGTTGGTGAGAATGAGATCCAGCATACCACCTTCCCTTATTATCTCCTCTATCATTTGGAGAAAAAAAGTTATCATCAACTATCTGTTATCAGATATTCTCTTTTACTTCATAGATTTCCTTGGAGTCCCTTGCAACTTGTTAAAAGTAATAACTGATTAAAAATAGCTTTTTATTACAATAGACTGTCTTATTGAGAAATCAAAACCACAAGACAGACTTTTTTCTTTACTTTTAGTAGAAAATATTCAAAATAATTATTTTAAAATCACTCTTCCTTCATCCCCAATCCTTCAATGTTTTAAGATTCAGACTTTATATGACACGTTCATTTTGTAGAAATTCAGTGTCATTCATCTGAATACTTCTCTTGAAATCCAAAGAGACCTTCTCTAGTCTTTTTCTGGCTTTAATTGATGCCAATTTTTTCAATAAGCATAAAGTAATGTCTTTTATTACTGAGAAATTCAAACATATATATATATATATTTACTCAAATATAAAAAAAAAAAAAAAACAAGTTATACGATTGTTTCACAAGCTCATTTAATTTCCCGGTTTCCCAAAGAACATCAGACAATATGTTGAATATAGAAATTCTGCAACAAAGGCATACCTATAGGCTGGAGGAGACTTGTATGTAAGATAATGTTATAGTCAATTTCTCATAAGAAATATTGAAATGCTGCTCTCTCAACGAAGGAAATTTCATCAGCTTTTTCCTTGAATGTCTGGAAAAGAAGGGAAGGTTATTCTCTCTTAATTTTTGTCTCTTTTGTTCTTACCAATGACTATGCATGTTATTTACAAATGCTATTAACATTTCTCACAGAATCACAGAATCACAGAATTTCTAGGTTGGAAGAGACCTCAAGATCATCGAGTCCAACCTCTGACCCAACACCAACAGTCCCCACTAAACCATATCCCTAAGCTCTACATCTAAACGTCTTTTAAAGACTTCCAGGGATGGTGACTCCACCACTTCCCTGGGCAGCCTGTTCCAGTGTCTAACAACCCTTTCGGTAAAGAAATTCTTCCTAACATCCAACCTAAAACTCCCCTGGCGCAACTTAAGCCCATTCCCCCTCATCCTGTCACCAGGCATGTGGGAGAACAGACCAACCCCCACCTCGCTACAGCCTCCTTTAAGGTATCTGTAGAGAGCAATAAGGTCGCCCCTGAGCCTCCTTTTCTCCAGGCTGAACAATCCCAGCTCCCTCAGCCACTCCTCATAGGGCTTGTTCTCCAGGCCCCTCACCAGCTTCGTCGCCCTTCTCTGGACCCGCTCAAGGACCTCGATGTCCTTCTTGTAGCGAGGGGCCCAAAACTGAACACAGTACTTGAGGTGCGGCCTCACCAGAGCCGAGTACAGGGGGACGATCACCTCCCTAGCCCTGCTGGTCACACTGCTTCTTATGCAAGCCAGGATGCTATTGGCCTTCTTGGCTACCTGAGCACACTGCTGGCTCGTATTCAGCCGACTGTCAACCATCACTCCCAGGTCCTTCTCTGCCTGGCAGCTCTTCAACCACTCATCTCCCAGCCTGTAGCTCTGCTTGGGGTTATTGCGCCCCAGGTGCAGGACCTGGCACTTGGCCTTGTTGAACTTCATGCAGTTGACCTCAGCCCATCGGTCCAGCCTATCCAGATCCTCCTGCAGAGCCTTCCTACCCTCGAGCAGATCGACACACGCACCTAACTTGGTGTCATCTGCAAACTTACTGAGGGTGCAGTCAATGCCCTCGTCCAGATCATTGATGAAGATATTAAAGAGGACCGGTCCCAGCACCGAGCCCTGGGGAATGCCACTAGTGACTGGCCTCCAACTGGACTTGACTCCATTTACCACGACTCTTTGGGCCCGGCTATCCAGCCAGTTTCTAACCCAACGAAGCGTGTGCCAGTCCAAGCCAAGAGCAGCCAGTTCCGCATAGGTTTTGGTCATACTAATTTACCCCTAATAAAATATAGTTCTTTTAATGACAATTTTTGTTGTTCAGACCAGAATAAAAGATAAGAAAATGGATTGTACTTTCTGCTTCAGTTTGTATCTTCTGCTTCATGACCTGGACTCTCACCGTTATATTATTGCATAGGTTCAGTCTTTAACTCCATTGCTAGTAATTCAGCAAACTTTCAGATGCCTCAGTGGTTATATCAGGATGAGAAAATCAGTGTTCCTTCAACTCTGATAACTCCATCTTGTCACTGCGATACCTTTTCCCTAAGATATGCCTGTGCTTGTACCATGCCTTTAGCTGAGGCATTAGACTGCATTGAACAATATTAAAGATCTGTTTTCACTAGGGATTAATTTCACGGAGAGTGTTGAGTTTTCTTTGACATGCAGTATTCTAAAGCAATAATGGCTCCCAGTTCTGTATTCAAAGATCCCATGTCTGTTTCCATCTGTTTCCATCTCCCAGACGAATGATAGTGTTGGTGAATGTCCTAAACCCAAAGCTTCCGAAAGAAAAACCTGCTTTTGCTATTCTGTAATAACACAAAATTAGTGTCTAGCACAAAAGCAAAAAATCAAAAAGCCCGAAAGCACTCTAGCAAAATTATAGCCAGAAAACTGTTTCAATGAATGATTCAAATTTTTGCCTGAAGCAAGAAAGAATAATGTTTTGTGATTCCACAAAAGCGGTAAAACAAAAATACAACACTATAACAGAGATATTTGTGGTAAGTTGCAAGATGAGTCTGACTAGATATCACTTTAGGAACAAGATAAAATCCTCAGTGGATGTATGAAAGAGGATAAAATTCAGAATGTACACATACCCATTTTATGAAGAGCTGGACTGCTTACACTGAACACCTCAATGAATGCAAATGCCTGTATGAAGCATGTTATTACCTTTATTCCCCAAACACAGTAGATAGAATACAAAATTATCAGCTGTGAAAAATTATCTCATAGAAAGCATGACCCATATCATAACATTTCTTTGGGAATTGTCTGCACAGTAGAGAGAATCACAGAAAAAAAAAAAAAAAAGAAAAAAAAAGTAATAATACCAGAAATTTGCATAGCATATAGAGTGCTTATAAAGAATTATAAACATTTCAGCAAAAACCCTAAGAATCTTTACCAGAAAATGCCTGGAACTTTGAAACTATCACATGCCCTCTCCACAGAATAATGGCCACTTGGTTAGAAACCTTTTTTGTTATTTTATTTTATTTTATTTTATTTTATTTTATTTTATTTTATTTTATTTTATTTTTTAATTGATTTTTTTTTCCAGGAGGAATAAGATGGAGTGCTTTTTCCTAAGGAATCCCAAGGTACTTGTACCTACATTCCTCCTTACACACTCTTTAAGATACATTTTCTAGCCCTTTTCCAATATATGATACAAAAAGAGTTTTTTCTCTTATAGCCAGAAAAAAAAACAAATAATCAAACAACAACTAAAAAGTAGGATCTGCAATATAATTTCATTACCTGAAAGCCATACAGGCCAGTTTGACAGTAGGTCTCACTGCTATTCCATTCCTTCAGTAGAAGAAGAACATATGAAAAAAAAAAAAACAGTGACAATTTAGGTAAATGTGGCTCAACATGCTTTTTAAAGAAATATTCTTGAACTAAAGATGGGATTTATCAGATGTAAAATCTGCCTCTTATGGGAAATATATGAGAATTTTTATACATGTTAAAGTTTTAAAGGCAAATTTTAGCTAAGTTTGTACATAAATGACATGAACTTATGACGTTAATTCAGAACATTGAAATAGCTTGCCTTTTTTAGAGCAGTTTAGACAGTATGGTAAAAACCTGAAAAGCATGTTATGTATTTTTCTATGTTTTTAGCTGTGGAACTTTTATAAGCCAAGCTGTACAGACATTATTTGCTCCCAGTCTGTGGATGAGTGGAGACCTATCTACACAATTAGATACTTTTTTTTTTATTATTATTATTATTTTTTTTCCCATGGCACAATTGAAATCTGCACCTCTATTTAACATGCTAGAAAACCAAATATAATCTTTTCAGAAGTGGCCTGAAGTAGCTACGTACTCTTTTACTTTAATCCTGAAGCAGGCACCTAATATTTGTCTACCACTATTATAATCAGTTCCTACTTTAGCTTGACTCTACTGTTCTCTCCCCAACCTCTTTATAAAATTTCAGGAGCGTCTTGTTCTGAGAACAAGTATGTCATCTCTTTGGGTGTCCGATTTCTGCCATCTTCATCCTAATTACAGCAAGAGCTACCTCTGCATTTGCATTTCATCTGTTATATTCTTTATTGGATGTGAACATCTGTAAGAATGTCCATTGGCCATTGTCCAATTAATTTTAACTTTTCATTGTGAATTCATTTTATTTGTCATCTTCCCATATCTTTCTAACTTTACACATATGCAGAAGTATACATGCACAGACACACATGTATTCACACACATGCACGCATGTTTACTCACAGCTTCTTCTCTTCAATTATGTTTGACTTTTCTGAAAAGACTTACAGTCACAAGACCATGAAAATACTCATGTATTGTCCTTCCCACTTGTCCCTCCCATGCAGCTTTTCTGTTTTTTAAGTGCCAGTAAAACTTAACATATTTTTCTTTCTACAATGTCAATAAAACTACATGGGACAGAAAGCAGATAGCTTTCTGAGTGTGTGACAGCACACACTCAGCTCCATTCACACAGCCCTGTTCACAATGGCTGTGTGAATTATGCTGTGAACCAGCTATCTGCCCCTTGAAAAGAAAATCAGATGGCAAGAAAAGAGCTGGTTGTTCATTTAAACACTCCTGCAATAGCTGGAGACCTAGTTCAAGAGATATAAATCTATCTGGAACATGATGGAATTAGAGAAGCGGAGTGCAGAAAAATGTAAAGAGAGCCAGAAAGAATCACAGAATCACAGAATTTCTAGGTTGGAAGAGACCTCAAGATCATCGAGTCCAACCTCTGACCCAACACCAACAGTCCCCACTAAACCATATCCCTAAGCTCTACATCTAAACGTCTTTTAAAGACTTCCAGGGATGGTGACTCCACCACTTCCCTGGGCAGCCTGTTCCAGTGTCTAACAACCCTTTTGGTAAAGAAGTTCTTCCTAACATCCAACCTAAAACTCCCCTGGCACAACTTAAGCCCATTCCCTCGTCCTGTCACCGGGCATGTGGGAGAACAGACCAACCCCCACCTCGCTACAGCCTCCCTTAAGGTATCTGTAGAGAGCGATAAGGTCGCCCCTGAGCCTCCTTTTCTCCAGGCTGAACAAACCCAGCTCCCTCAGCCGCTCCTCGTAGGACTTGTTTTATCACTCTTTTGATAAGAGACAAAAATAGCCATCAGAGAAGATTCTCACTGTGTACAGACCTTGTGACCTTGTGATACAACTGTACAAACCTTCCTAGAAAGGTTTTGAATTCACCTAGAAAATATTTATCACAAGATTTGGCACAGCTGAATTGAGCAACCATTGCTGATATTACTTAGCATCTGAAAAGATAGAGAAGTATGCACAAACTCTGCCAGCCACTCTCTAAACAAAATTTTTACTAGGAAAAAATATAATATCTGGGGACTCCATATTAAACTGCAGCAGTTGTGTAGAGAATATTTCTTCTTCTTCTATTTATTTATTTATTTATTTATTAAGATTTTTAATCTTTTTTTCATCTTTTTTATCTTTTTTATCTTTTTTTTTTTTTTAAAGGAAGTTGGGAATTTTTAAGTAGGCACCCTCGAAACATACTTATTATCAGTCTTTTTCTAGAACATTGCTTCTTCTACATGTCAGAATCTAGTGGACCTCAAAGTCCTTCATTTCAAATATTTCTTCTATGCCACACACATAGCAGAAGGGGCAAAATCTCCAAATTGGCAAGCTGAAGAGAGACTATTTGAGCAGCTATAAAAAATACAAGATATTAAATTTTCAATCAAAACATCTGGACAGTTAATTTTTAAGGAAGTCTGTCCTAGTAAATCAGGACATCTGGTAGCCTGAGTCCCAAATGAAACTTTAGTAAATCTTCAGGATGTTTATGATCTCACATAGCAACAAGAGAAGTGAAACTTAATTTCCTAGACAACTTTTGCTTTCTACATGGAAACTTCTGCCGATGAGTTGGCACTGAAAATACTAGAAATTTTCACAGATGTATTAGAAATTTTACTTGTGCAAAAACAGAGACATGAGTGCTGTACACTAATTGCAAATGTTTTGTAAATTGTTCCACTGGAAAACAAAGTACTAAAGTAATAAAATATAACAAATAATATATCATAATAATATATAATATAGAAAATAATATATACAATATATACATATAAGATAAAGTATTTTTTCAGCAAGTATTAGCATTATAACAAAACAGTGTTGGCTTTCTGTGGATATATGGTGTGAGATGAAAACAATACTCTGCTGTTCTAAAATTATTAGGGGAAGCAACTTCCATTTTCTGTCACAAAAAAAAAATATGCTTAGTAATATAAAATTAAAAAAAAATAAAAAATGTAAATCCAAATCAATGCCAAACTTCCCATATTTGAGATTGTTATGTTGTTATGTAACCATTGAGATGGTTATGTTGCAAAGAGGTAACAGCATCCAGATTTTAAGGCAAAATCTCTTTTTTATTTTTAAATACATTTACAAAGCAATATTTTTCATGAGTTTTTAAGGATGGAATTAAGAACACTGCATCTCCCAGTTCCTACCGATCAGGGAATAAAGGTTAGGGAAAAACAAAAACAAATTTACAAATTTCAACTAAAACAAAGTTCTAGCATATCCAGATGTTGCAGTCATCAGTGAAAAAAAACTCTAGTTCTGTCAACTGGTTGATCCAATGTCTTTGTGAGTTTGATTTAAAACAGGTACAATAAGGAAACAACCTTTTTAAGGTCTCCTCCAAATATTTACTGAACCCTGTGTATGTGGCACATACAGAAGGACGTGGTTAACAATGGGACTTAGTATGTCAGGCTGATCATCTTGAACGTCTTTTCCAACCCAGGTGATTCTGTGACTCTATGGCTGTGACTATCAACTCAGAGGAGAATATTTTTCAGACCTTAAATAGAAAAGTATATATATTTACCACATCTCAGGAGCAGGTCAGTTTGCTGCCCATTCTCTCTGTCTCTGTATTTTCCAGCAGCTGGGTAGAAGACTGAAGTCGTCATGCTGTGATGTCTCTCCTTACTACCTATGATCCAAATGGCATGAAGGTAGCTTTAAAATAATAACAGATAATAATATAATAGATGATAATATCAACAACATGCTATTGTTCCAACACATAACCATTGACAAAATGCAACAGCATGTTACAACATTAATTTATTATTATTATTATTATTATTATTATTATTTTTTTAATGAAGCTTAAACTCATTACAGCTTTTTAGTTGGTTGGTTTTTAATTAAGCGCCCACGTATTACCCCCAAGCTCACAAAAGGGTATTCAGGCTAAGCATGGAAGGGATGCAGAAGAGAAAATTACAGTCAAAGTAATGGCCATTTTTTACTTTCCAGTGTACAACAATTATACAGTCTCATTTCATTAGTATTGCCTAGAAAAATAATCTCTCTCTGTATATACATTATAATGTTCTCTTGACCCCTTGTAGGTACTACATGACTGCTTGTCACTATTAAAATACAATGTCAAAGAAGAATTTCACCGAAAAGTAGAAAACTGTGATAGGAATGACCCCACACTCCCCAAGGAAGAATATGCTTCTGAATCAGGGAAAGTAATACAATAGAGTGAAAGATAAGAGTGACTTATGAGCAATTATGAACGATATTATTAGAACATGTTGACTGAGAGGTTGTTTTATTTTTTCCTGAAATTTCTCTTCCAGTAACTGCTAGGAGCCAAGGATTCCTTTTTTTTTTTCTTTCTTTCTTATCTTTATCATCTTTATCTTATCTTTATCTTTTTTTTTCCTTTTTTCTTTTCCTTTTCCTTTTCCTTTTCCTTTTCCTTTTCCTTTTCCTTTCTTTTTTTTTTTCTCCTTTGTTTTTATTAGTGGAGTTTAGCTCTAGTGGAATTAAGGAATAACTTTTTTTGAACACAAATTTAAAATTTATAATTAATACATGAAAAATAGGAAAAAAAAAAAAAAAGGATAAACCTGTCATTGACAGGTTTAGTTGCCACAAAAGGCAAATTCTGTGCCATGTGAAGTATTGTCATATCCCACCCATCTATGAAGTCCCAAAGGGTGCAGAAGGGTGCACATCTCTCAAAGGTCCTGCACCAGCTTCGTGTGAATATGTAGTTTAGGCATATTAATTAACATTACATGCAAAAATGTATTGAGGGAAATCCTAATCTGGATTCCAGTGTTGATCAGAATTTAATTTATTTAACTAGCATTTACTTGTAAATGTAAACATTTGACTGTAAATGCTTAAATTTACAAATAAGTACTTCAGACTACCTCCAACAGCTTGGGCTCTGTTCAGTTTCAAAAGCAAGTGTATGCAACTGGTGTCATTTGAAGTGGTTTTGGACAGCGGTTGATAGGTATGCCATGGGTTGTACATGAGACCTGTACTTTTCAAGACTGGCTGAAGGAAGATGGGCAGGATTTGCTAGGGCATCTCAAATGACATGAGTGTGCTACCAGATGGATCCTTTTGTGCTTGTATGTGTGTGCACTTCCCTAGGAATACTGAAAAATGCAAAGCTGTACTAGTAAATCTCAAATTCTTTCTCCCATCCTGAATCTGTCTATAACTTTATTCCACCTGTAGTTGAACTGATTTCAGTGGGACTATTTGTTAACTAAGTTGGGGTGAGAAAAAGTCACTGAATGCTTACCTATGCCATATGAAACACTTCAGATTTTCTTTCCAAATATTGAATGAAAAAGATTGCTTAGGTCTCTAAAAATAAAACCTTGAAAAATGAGTTCCTCCTTACTATTATTATTCATAATACTTTTAAAATGTAAAAGACTAATCCCATCTTACTTTGTATAATGTCCTAAAATTCTAAAATTTCTTAATTTGCATTTGGTACTTTATTTTTTATTTAGCTGTGGATTCATTATGATAGCCTTTTTTTTTTTCCAAGTTTTTACAAAATATTTGAAAGGCAGTGTAATCTTTTAATGGATCTGAGGAATCTGGTCTGTTTTGTTTATTTCTGCTGTGAGTGTATGGGATTCAGTACCCTGTAGAACTACACATTCTGAATTTAATTTCTCGCATCTTGTAAACTTACAAGTTTAATTCCTGATGTTCCTTTTAAAAGATCCTTGTAGATCTCCTCCAGGATCGAATTATTTGAAGGTAGCGAGTACATTTTTTAAACATATTTCCTCTTTCCAACTACATCCCCAGTAACTTGTCTGTTTTGTCCTTTATTAACTGCTCACATGAAATGGTTTGGTTTCACTCCTAAATAAGTGTCTGGTGACACTTATTTATTAACTGATGGAAAGTCTGGGAAAGATCAGCATTTCATCATCAACAAGGCCTTCTGCGACATTTCTGAACCCTTCAAGGTTTATCTTCAAGACAGATAAATAAGCATGTTACAAAACAGCCTCACCAAGCAACACAGGGCTATGGTAAAATTGTTGTCCTTAAATACACCATACTGCTCAAATTGAGCTTTCTGGAAAGCAGTACTTACAGATCACAGAATTATATTCCAAGTTGGAAGGAACCCACAAGAATCACTGAGTCCAACTCCTGGCTCCAGACAGGACAACCCAAAACAGAGACTGTGTCTGATAGCATTGTCCAACAGTTCCTTGTTGAACAACTCTGTCAGGCTCATTGCCATGACCACTACCCTGGGGAGCTTGTTCCAGTGCCTGACCACCCTCTCAGTGAAGAACTGATAATCAGCCTGAACCTGCCCTAACACAGCTCCATGTGTGCATATTCAAAGTGTTTTATTGAACAATTGCCCTTTAAATTCCATGGCTTATTTTACAAAAAAATCATACTATTTTATAAGACAATAAATATTAATTAAATAGGTCTTACAACTATTTTATTTTATTTTATTTTATTTTATTTTATTTTATTTTATTTTATTTTATTTTATTTTATTTTATTTAGATAATAGATTGCATATCATTAAGAGCATAACAATAATTTTGTCTAACTAAATTCTATAGCCTCTATTTTTTCCTTTTTGACCAAAGACCATACAAACTTATATTTATGGCACAGTAATAGATGATTCACAGTTAGAGAGAAAGATGGACCCAGGGCATTTTTTACCTTCCTGTGACTTCTTAGATGTACTTCTTATCTTTAAAAGTATTCAGTATTACTACAACTAGCTTAAGCAGTAATAGTTGTAGCAACAGCAGCAGCAGCAGCAATAGCAGGAGAAGCAGTATTATTATTTTTCTTAAGTCAGCACTGCTGCAACCCAAAGTGTCTGTATTTTAATATAATAATGTCATGCTTTTGGCCACTGCTAAAACCCAGATGCCTGTGCCGACTTTTGGAAATTTGGTATTTGCATTACCAAATTATTTTAAATTGATCATTTCTAGGGAAAGCTGAAGGGAAGACGTAATTTCTCCATTCTTCAATACATGTATGTGTATTTCTTATAGTACTTTCAGTAATCATGTGTACTGCAACAACAACCTGATAGTTGATAGAAGCATAAAAATCTATCTTCTGGGTTAGTAAAATTCTGTAGATATTAACAATACATTATCTGGACAAAGTTTTTCTATCAAGAATGAATCCTTACAACTTTGTTTGCTGTCATAATTACCTAGAATACAGTGGCTTTCTCTTGAGCTAATTAATGAGATAGGGAAATGGAAGATTTCAGTTCTGTCATAGCTCATTTGCACTGAAAGAAAAGTGAGGAAATCTCAAAAGTAATATAAACAGTTGTGTCCACAGTTTTATGTGACATGCCTTGAGGATGAAGCAGTTATTTGAGAATGTGGCCCACAGCCATACATACTTTTTTTGACAGTATCTTATGTAAAGCTTTACTTGCACAGAATACTTGATTTTTTAATTATTATTCTTTGTCTAAGAAAAATCTTAGATGTTTAGTTTATTTTTACATTTCCCATGTATAAACAATATTCATATTTATTTCATTTTTATTAGCTTGTTACTGAAGATTGTAAATCTTATTTAAAAAATTAAATTAAACTTACTATTTACAGTATGAATTTGTTAATATAGATGATATATAGATGATCTCTGCAGGAAGGTCACATAGACAATTCACTCTGTTTTGTGCACAAGACATCTACAGGGAAAAAAAAAAAAAGTAAAAAAAAAGTGGAGTGTTGTCTTTGGAAAAATTAAGCCCTCTGACACAAATTATTTTTTTTAAACTGAAACATTAATGTAAAGGCTGTTCTGAGAAATGGTGACATCAGCTATAAAAATAAATTTCTAATTAAGTTCTGGCCATGAAATAGGCCATGCATAGGTTTCTAGAGATTTTGAATGTTAACAGTATTTGGAAGATTTAAAGCTGTTTTGTCCCATAAGTAAAGAGTATATACCAACAGAATGCGTCAATCTCTGCTATGGCTGTATCAAAATTAATATTCACTAAAAGAGACAGAAGCTGCTGGCAAAAATGTTATCTGATTGTGAATGCAAAGACTATATCAAATTGTATTTACACAGGCAGCCAGATCAAAAATGCTGTCATCCTTAATTCTCAAATCCCTAACTTTTGAATATGCTTTTAACATATTTTTTCACTACAGTGTGTAATGTATCATACATATATGCAGAAAAGTTGGTTTTGACAGTAGCAAATTCTCACTTTATCTGCTTTTAGCTACTCTTTTCTAGGAAAACTAGCCAAACTCAGTAACATTTCATAATTTGCAACAGAATTGACTTCTTTTTTTGTTGTTGTTGTTTTGTTTTGTGTTTTTTTTTTTTCATTAATTCAAGCTGGCATAGCTAGGTTTTCTGTGGCAGTTAATTTTACTTTGACATTCATTTATATACTATATTCCTGTTTTGAATTGTCTGAAAGGAAAGAGAAATCAAATACATAAGTGTTCTGTCATTCTCTGTCTATTCTGGTCTCACAGATATGGTAAAAAGGTAATGCTTTTAAAAGATCTTTTCCTCCTACCAAGGTAATCTATACTATCAGGACAAAACTGTGCTAAATATAATACATAATAAATATATAATAAATATATATAATAAATATTATATAATAAAATATATAATAAATAGTTAAGTAACTA